TGCTGCAGTGAACATCAGGGTGCATGCATCCTTTTGAATTATGGTTTTCTCCAGATATATGCTTAGGAGTGGGATTGCTGGGTCATACGGTAGCTCTATTTTTAGTTTTTTAAGGAACCTCCATACTGTTCTCCATAGGGGCAATACCAATTTACATCCCCACCAACAGTGTACAAGGGTCCCCTTTTCTCCACACCCTCTCCAGCATTTACTGTTTGTAGAATTTTTTTTTTTTTTTTTTTTTTTTGGTACGTGGGCCTCTCACTGTTGTGGCCTCTCCTGTTGCGGCGCACAGGCTCTGGACACGCAGGCTCAGCGCCCAGGATTCACAGGCCCAGCCGCTCTGCGGCATGTGGGATCCTCCTGGACCAGGGCACAAACCCGTGTCCCCTGCATCAGCAGGCAGACTCTCAACCACTGCACTACCAGGAAAGCCCTGTTTGTAGAATTTTTGATGATGGCCATTCTGACCGGTGTGAGGTGACACCTCATTGTGGTTTTGATTTGCATTTCTCTAATAATTAGTGATGTTGAGCATCTTTTCATGTGTCTGTAGGCCATCTGTATGTCTTCTTTGGAGAAATGTCTACTTAGGTTTTCACCCATTTTTTGATTAGATTGTTTTTTTTCTATATTGAGCTGCATGAGCTGTTTGTATATTTTGGAGATTAATCCCTTGTCAGTTGCTTCATTTGCAAATATTTTCTTCCATTCTGAGGACTGTCTTTTCATTTTGTTTATGGTTTCCTTTGCTACGCAAAAGCTTTTAAGTTTAATTAGATCCCATTTGTTTTTGTTTTTATTTTCATTACTCTAGGAGGTGAATCAAAAAAGATCTTGCTGTTATTTATGTCAAAGAGTGGTGTGCCTATGTTCTCCTCTAAGGGTTTTTATAGTGTCCGGTCCTTAATCCATTTTGAGTTTATTTTTGTGTATGGTGTTAGGGAGTGTTCTAGTTTCATTTTTTACATGTAGCTGTCCAGTTTTCCCAGCACCACTTATTGAAGCGACTGTCTTTTTTCCATTGTATATTCTTGCCTCCTTTGTCACAGATTAGGTGGCCATAAGTGCGTGTACCACATCTTCTTTATCCATTCATCTCCCGATGGACATTTAGGTTGCTTCCATATCTTGGCTATTCTAGTTTAGTTTTCTGAGAGTTTTCTTTTCTTTTAATCATAAGTACATGGTGAACATCATTTAATGCTTTTTCTGCATCATTTGACTCGACTGTATAATTTTTCTTCTTTACTTTGTGGTGAACTACATTGATTTTTAAAATATTGAACCAACCTTGGATTTGCTAATGTTTTGTTGAGGATTTTCATTAAATGTTTAAAATAGAATTCACCACTGAAATCATATGTGTCTAGAATTTTTTCTGTGGAAGGGTTTTAAATTATAAACTCAATTTCTAACATCTATAGGACTATTCAGATTTTCTGCTTCTTGTATTTTAATAAGTTGTCTTTCAAAACAATCTGTCCATTTCTTCTAAGTTCTCACATTTATTAGTGTAAATGTATTCCCAATTTTTAAAATTATTCTTCTGCTATCTGTATGATCTATAGTAATGTCCCCTTCATTCCTGGTATTTATGAATTGTGTCTTCTCTTTTTTTCCTGATCATTCTTAAAAATGGTTTCAATTTTATTAATCTTTTGAAAGAACCAACTTTTGGCCTTGTTGATTTTTCTCTGTCATTTGTTTCCCATTTCATTGATTTACACACATATATTCATTATTATCTGTCGTCTGCTTGCTTTGGATATGATTTGCTTCTCTTCTAGCTTTTTAAGGTGGGGCCTTACACCATTGATTTTAGACAATTATTTTTCTATTATAAGTATTTAAAGTGATAAATTTGCCTATAAGCATTATATAGCTGTATTCCACAAATTTTGATGTATTTTTCCTTTACCCTTTAGTTCAAAATACTTTGTTGCTTAATTTCCAATTATTCATGGCTTTTCTAAATATCTTATTGTTATCAACAAATCTATTTTGTCAGATATCATATTGTTATTTCATTTCTTTGAAATTTACTGAGACTTATGTCAGCATAAGGTCTTAGGGACTGTTCCATGTACACTTGAAAAAACAATGTGTATTCTGCAGTTGTTGGGTGTAGTGAGCTATAAATGTCTATTAGGTCAAATTAACTGACAGTGTTGCTGAAAGCTCCCATTTCCTTAATTAGACTCTGTCTATGTGCTTTATCAATTACTGAGAGAAGGTTGTTAAAATTTCCAACCATAGAGCTGGATGGACCTAGAGTATGTCATGCAGAGTGAAGTAAGTCAGAAAGAGGAAAACAAATACCGTATGCTAACACATATATATGGAATCTAAAAAAACAAAAAAATGGTTCTGAAGAACCTGGGGCAGGGCAGGAATAAAGACACAGGTATAGAGAATGGACTTGAGGACATGGGGAGTGGGAAGGGTAAGCTGGGATGAAGTGAGAGAGTGGCATGGACATATATACACTACCAAATGTAAAACAGATAGCTAGTGGGAAGCAGCCACATAGCACAGGGAGATCAGCTCGGTGCTTTGTGACCACCTAGATGGGTGGGATAGGGAGGGTGGGAGGCAGATGCAAGAGGGAGGAGATATGGGGATATATGTATATGTATAGCTGATTCACTTTGTTATAAAGCAGAAACTACCACACCATTGTAAAGCAATTATACTCCAATAAAGATGTTAAAAAAAAATCCAACTATAGTGGTTTTGTCTCTTTCCTTAGTTCTGTTATTTTGGGTTATTTATTTATTTGTTTGTTTGTTTGTGTTGGGTCTTAGTTGCAGCATGCAGTATCTTTCATGAGGAGCGTGTGGGCTCCTCTCTAGTTGTGGCTCCAGAGTGCATGGGCTCTGTTGTTGTGGCACAGGGGCTCTTTAGTTGTGGTGCACGGGCTCAGTAGTTGTGGCACATGGGCTTATTTGCCCTGCCGCATGTGGGATCTTAGTTCCCAGACCAGGGATCGAACATGCATCCTCTGCATTGGAAGGCGTTTTCTTAGCCGCTGGACCACCAGGGAAGTCCCAGATATGTTATTTTTGTTTTCATATATTTTGTAGCTCTTTCACTAAGAGTGTACAGATTTGGGTTGTTATGTTTTTCTTAATGAATTGGTCCTTTAAGTATCATGAGATGTAACTCTTTATCTGTAGTAATACTTCCTATCTTGATATTAATATAACCACACCAGCTTTCTTAGTGTTTGCATTTTATATCTTTCTTTATCCTTTTACTTTCAACTTATGCCTTTATATTTCAAGTGTATACCTTGTAAGCAGTATTTAGTTGGGTCTTGCTTTTTAACTCAGTCTTTGCCTTTCATTAAACTGTTTAGTCCACTTAATTACTGCTACAGTTATGTTTAAGTGTTAACATATTGCTATTTGTTTTCTGTTTGTCCTGTTTTTTATTCCTGCCTTTTTAGGGGGGTTAATCAAGTATTTTTTAATACTTCTGTCTCTCTCCTTTATTGTTTTTTTAGCTCATGTGTGTGTGTGGGGGGGGGTGACAGGCAATTGCCTTAGGGAAGATTCAGGTTACACTTAAAGTAACAATTATTGTGTGCCTACAATGGGCCAGGCACTGGGCTTAAGCACAACTGTGTGGTCATTAGGGCTAGTTCTTTCAAGTTTCAACGTTGCTCCCTAGGTTACAGTATTCTAATAAAGTGCATTAAACCAAAGGTTAACATGTTTCTGTTCAAATCCCAACTGTGCTACTTAGTAATTGTGTCATCTTGGCTAATGTGTATTTTGTGAGCTTCAGTTTCTTTATCTATAAAACAAGGAGAATGGATGCTTTTGTGCTACTATTAATGCAGATCACATGGAATAATTTCTATAGCTGTATTATGAAAATTGCAACTTTAAACATGTAAGATATTATTATTCCAGGATTTAATAAAAATACTCATATTTGTTCTACCTTTTATAACAAATTTCAATCCTATCTTCTCTAAACCATCAGCTTTTTAGACTGAAAAACCCTTCTTTCTTTGGTACATTTGTTGTTGTCTTGGTATATTCAGCAGCTCTTTCCCTAAACCATGTCTAACTATGATTAGAATGTACCCCGTCTACAACCACTGCATCAAGGCATACTCCTCGTCATACTGCAAGACGCAATTAAAACAGCATGTCTTCCATGACAATTTTCCACTCTTATTCACTCCCCAATAGTTGGGCTGGTATTTACCAAATTCTAACTCCTGTATCCCCTTTGCTGATGTGGAAGCAGTTCAGAAGCCACCATCCTTTAACGTTGGATTAATGTTCATTAAACACCTTACCTTAAATATCCCTGGGAGAATCTGGGAAGACTCTACAGAATGATAGATAGGTTTTAAAGCATCGAAGTTTTCCTGGAGTTAAGTGGGAAAGGGGCTCAGAAAAAGTAAACGATATGGAGCTTTCCAAGTTTTGGTATATGGTGTGCAGGTGCTTTCTTCTCCCCCTTCATCTCTTTCCACTTGTCACTTACACTTAAGTCATATGGAACTAATTGTAGTTCACTAGGTTGCTTTTTCCTCTGAGCCTTAGTTCATGCTATTCCCTGTATTTGGTATGCCTTGTTCCCCTGATTTCCTTTAACCTGGCTAATTCCTGTTTGTCCTTTAGGTCTCAGCTTAAATGTCATGTCCTCTGGAGTGTCTTCCCTGACCCCCTGCCCTGACTCCCCAGGTCTGAATTAGGTGCCCTTTCTGTATGTTCTCACTACACCCTGAACATTACTTCTTTGTAGCACTTGTAAAACTACTGAAATTTCTTTGTAGTCTTCTACATTTTTCACTAGACTTAGAGCTCCATAAGGGCAGTACTGTATCTTCTGCTATTCCCAGGGCCCTAGTGAGGCTTGGCCTAGAGTAAACCTCAGTAAACATTTGTTCGGTGAATGACTGACTCTAACAGGAATGCTGACCGCAAAGAAAGATGAAAAGAGCAGGTAGCTGGTATACTTTCTCTTTCCATGTCCAGCATTCTCCTGGTGTGCAGCCTGCAGATGTGGAGGAAGTTGTCGAGAAGGGTGTGCAGATCCTTGTCATTGGCCGAGGGATGAGCGAGGCCTTGAAGGTAGGTATTGGTGAGCACAGCATTCCTGAGGACCTCTGGTAATCTCCTGGATCTTTACCTTAGAGATATGTCCTTCTTGGAAGTTCATCTCTATATATCATGCACCCTCATTTTGCTGAGCCAGTGGACGGCCCAGGACAAAATAGTGGCTGCGCACTATTCTTCTTCATCGGGGTTGGACTCTCCAGTCTCTAATCACAGGCCTTTGCTGTTTCAACTATTTTTCAGAAATTCCTCAATCCTGGAATTTCTTTTAAGCTCTACAGCTATCAATATTTGGCTCTTTAGATTTTTACAGTACTTTCCATTTTTACAGTACTTTTAATTTTTCTTTTCTTGGGCACATTCAAGTTAAGCTTTTTTCCCCTTTCAGAAAAAGAAAGTTTATTTTTATTGTACTTACAGAAATAGTACATGCTTGTTGTAAAAGAGTCAATGCAGAAATGTAGAATTAAAAAGGTGAAAGATTTCCCCTTCCCAATCGTAACTGCTCCAATGCTCTCTCTATGCATCTGCAAATATATACACACTTATACATACTGATATACATGTTTTTACATAAATAGGATCACTCTATACATTATTGTTCTGTAACTTTTTATTCACTTACATTATTGCATTATGGACAGCCTTTCACATAAGTTTATAGAGATCTACCTCATTCTGTCCTTCATATAGATGTCGTAAAATCCAGTTCCCTACCAATGGAGGTGCCCTTTAGTTATATTTTTTAGTTTAACCTAGTTTTTTCCTCCATTAAAATGATCCCTATCTGTAAGACTACTGTTATTATAAAATTGTTCAAACATATAAAAAAGTAATGTAGGGCATTTTAAAAAACATTTCACTCAGAGCTCCTTCTGACAAGGCAGAATCTAATTAAAATCTCTTTAAAATAATATTGAAGGCAAGCCAGAGTTGAGAAAATATCCAATAATAGCTGCCACTCTTGAGAATCTTTTATATAAATTCATTTACAAATATTCATTCAGCACCTTCTGTGGGGCAGACACTATTCTAGGTACCAGGGACAACAAGCTAAACAAGGCAAACAAGGTTCATGGCCCTCATGGATAATAAAAATGTAGGCAATTTCAGATCATAGTAAGTGCTGTGAAGAAAATGGTGACTTATGAGGGGCTGCTCTAAATGGGGTGGTCAAGAAAGGCCTTTCTTTTTTTTTTTTTTGGCGGTACGCGGGCCTCTCACTGTTGTGGCCTCTCCCGTTGCGTAGCACAGGCTCCGGACGCGCAGGCTCAGCAGCCTTGGCTCATGGGCCCAGCTGCTCTGCGGCATGTGGGATCCTCCCAGACCGGGGCACGAACCCGTGTCCCCTGCATCGGCAGGTGGACTCCCAAGCACTGCGCCACCAGGGAAGCCCAAGAAAGGCCTTTCTGAGAAGACATGTGAGCTGCAGTGTACATACATTCATAAAACTTCATCCTCACACCAACCCTTTGATTTTAAGTATTATTATCCCCATTTTATAGGGGAGGAAATTGCAGTTGAAAGACTTTCAAAGGTCTCTTGGTTAGTACATAGCAAAGTTAGAATTTAGACTCAGGTTGGACTGACTCAAACATTTAACATTTATCTGGATTTGAATCAGTCAGGTTGGACTGACTCAAATATTTAACATTTTACATACCTTAGCTGAATTCATTCTCATACCAACCCTGTAAGCAGGTATTGTTATCCCTATTTACATACACTGAAACAAGAGGCTCAGAGAATTTAATTCACTTACCCAAAGTCACAATGCTAGTAAGGACTTAAATTCAAGACTGTCTGACTCCAAAATCCATGCTCTTTCCAGTTTCCATATCACCTGAGCTGTCTGCACATGTTTCGTGGTACTTCTGCTAACTTCTTAGAAGGCTTTTTGACTCCTTGGGACTCACTGCCAAATTCTGGGCTGGTGACACGCTGGGTGATTGAGGAGTGATGGTTGTCACTGTCCAGTTCTGTAGAATATACTTGCCTCATAGCAGGAAAGGAAACCCTGGTGGCCTTTCCCCCTGATTTACTCATCTTTTTCCTTCTTCCCAGGTACCCCCATCAACTGTGGAATACCTCAAGAAAAAAGGCATTGATGTGCGGGTCCTCCAGACAGAGAAGGCAGTGAAGGAGTATAATGCCTTGGTTACCCAAGGCATCAGGGTGGGAGGGGTCTTCCATTCCACCTGCTGATGGAGCCTTAAGAGAATAAATCACTAAGCAATGATGCCTGTGACTGTCACTCTTACCTCTGTCCACTCCAGCCACCCCCAGCATTTTTGAACAGCTGCTCGTGCCAAGTCCTGTGCTAGGCTTTGGGATGCATGGATGACTTAGGCAAGGTCCTTGTCCTGGGGGGTGGGGGCTGAAAATCAGGGGAGGAGACAGAAGTTTACCAAAGTTTAATATTGTGGCAAATGTTAGACCAGAAGTAAGCGAAAATAAAGGCAAAAATAGGGCTTCCCTGGTGGCGCAGTGCTTGAGAGTCCGCCTGCCGATGCAGGAGACGCGGGTTCGTGCCCCGTTTCGGGAAGATCCCACATGCCGCGGAGCGGCTGGGCCCGTGAGCCATGGCCGCTGAGCCTGCGCGTCCGGAGCCTGTGCTCCGCAAATGGGAGAGGCCACAACAGTGAGAGGCCCGCATAACGCAAGGAAAAAAAAAAGAAAAAAAAATAAAAATAAAAAATAAAGGCAAAAATAAAGAAAGCCTTCTGACTTGAAGTTTGAAAGCCAAAGAAAAGTTTCAGTGCATTAAAATCACATTGCAATTGATGCTTTGGAATGTTTAGTCATCAATTCAACCAAGTTTTATTAAGTACCTTATATGCCAGGCACTGCTATAGGCTCCAGAGAAACAGCAATAAAAGTCTTGTGCTCATGAAGCTTATATTCTAGTGGGCAAAATAAACAAGTAAACAAATACATAATGTAAGTAGAATGTTATGAAGAAAAATAAAGCAAGATAAGAAAAAGAGTGATAGGGGCTATTTCAGATATGTGGTCAGGGAAAGTGTCTTTGTGCAATGACATATGAGCAGAGCCCTGAATGAACTGAGGCAACACTTCAATAACAGTAAAAGGAGCTATGCCTTGATACTAGGGTTCTAGGCAGGCTGCTCTACTAACTAAACCTGAGCCTTGCCAGACAGTTCTCTCTGCCTCAGATTCCCTCACTGTAAAATGATGGGGCTGGACTAAATGCCTTTTAATGGTCCCTACTGGCATGGATAGCCTTTGCTCTGTTAAAGGTGGCCTTTGTGAAGCCTTAGAATAGACTGACAGAATTATAATAGTAATCAGCATTACCTTATTTTTCATTTTTCACCCTCTTTAAAGAGTTATGAGTATCCGCTTTGGTATCAGATAGCCTTGACTTTGAACTGTGGCTTTCACGGCCACTCACTGGTTGGGCATTTATTTAATCTCTTAGAGTTTCACTGTTCTCATTTGTCAGATAGGGATCATATTAGTACCTGGAGTTATTATAGGTGTTAAGTTGGGTAATTCATAGCAAGTTTTGGCACATTGCCTGGCATGTAGTAAGGACTCAATAAACTGAAACCACTGTCAGTATCTTTCTCCTAATGGGGCTGCTGTGTAAAGCTAACTGGTTTCATTTTATGGTTCTTAATATATCAGCTTATAATTTCACAGATTCATAGAATGTTGGAGCCCAAAGGAATTATCTACTCTATTATCTCATTTATTCAGTACTTCTCTTTTATATTCATTTACTGAGAGTCTCTTACTAATATTCTTATGACCAATTATTGCTGGATACTAGGGGTACAGGAATGATTCAGTTCTTGCCCTCAGGAGTTACGTGAGAGAGAAACAAGACAGTAGTGATACAGTGTGCTAACATTACACTAGTTACAAGGTCCAGTGGTGGCACAAAGGGTGGACTAACTTATCCTACCAGAATGGGAGGAAAATTAGGGAAGACATCACTAAGGACATAACACAAGTCTTAAAGAACAAGAAGAGGTTCATTTATTCACCAAACATTTGGGAACTCTTTATTAGGTATGGTGTCTATCATGGTCATAACTAAATAAAATTGCTCCACCCCAGCACCTATTGAAGCCACAGCCCAGAAAGCTGATTTTTGCTCCTGTTGCCTGACTGGCCCCACTGGGCATCTGACCTCAGGACAGCCAATCCGTAGACTGAACAGCAACTTAAGATGTGGCCTGGCAAGAAAAGATGAGCTAAGCCCATTGGAATGGAAAGTGATCTAATTTCTAAGCTTACCCAGCAAGAAAGTGGCAAAGGCAGGATTAGAACCCAATGCTGTGTCTTGATCTCTTTCTACCACCTCAGGAGGCCCATGGGAGAGAGATCCTCACAGACCTGAGACTCAGCCTAGAGGTCTGAGAAGGTCTTGCTCAGTGCCCTTTCTACAACCAGCCATTTGTCAGATGACAGGATGTTTCTAGATCTCAGTTCCCTCAGCTCATAAAGCCAGACACTTATATAGCTAGGAAGGATGTTTGATAAAATTTAGACTTTCTCTGGTTGATGCAATAAAAAATTTTTTTTGTCAAATGTAAGATGAGACAGCTCCAGTGGGTGTTGAATTAGGTGTGGGTGTAATCAATGTTCCTAAGTGAGTTGTCTCTACATTAAACAGAACTTAGTACAAACTTCTTTGAGACAGAAGTACCTGACAGTGAGGTTATTAAACTTTGTATAGAACCTGCTGACAGCCCCTACTTCTGAATCTGTTCTGCATGGTCAGTGCTGGAAATTTGCAGAGCCTGGAGAGAAGCTCTTTTTCCATGACACTATACTTAGTCCCATGTCTTAATCATTAAACCCTTTGATTCAATTTGTAAGTTGCCTGCACAGCCCTCACTCTGCCCACACTTAAATTTCTTCTAGCTTGAGCAGTTCCTAAGATGAGCAGTCTGCCAAGTGCTAGGTGTGTACCTTCTTCATAATTCTGTTTGCTGAGGTCAATCATGTCAAAGCCAAATATAAAGTCCTTTCAGAAACCTGACTCGCAGGGCTGGGTTTTGCAGGCATGTCATGGTACAGCTAAACTTGCTCTGGATTCACGGGCTCATTCCTTCTTTCCTTGCCTGGTATGTGCCAGGAGCTATGCTGGGGATACAACACAGACATTCTTACGGTCTAGCTATTCACAGACTGGTTGGAAGAAAGAGACATGTAAATATGCAGTAACGATGCAGAAGTTTCAAACTGGCACAAATCTACCTGGAGACAGGTTTTGTTTGTCTCAGAGTAATTTTAACATTTACTTTACTTAGTTACTAAAATTTTTAACGTGGTTATTTTTCACATGGAAATGCAGGTTTCTGACTTTTCTGGAAGAATCAGAAAATCTGACATCACCAGGCCCATACCTATGAACAACTGAGTGGAGCTGAATAGCAACTGCCTTCTGACAGAGAATGTGCTGATTCCTCAAGTCTCTGTTATCTTCTTCCAGGTCACTTGACACCCCCCTTTTTTAATTTGTACAAGATTATTTTTCATAATTTTGAAAAATACATTCATGAAAATTACCTAGGATGCATTTATTAGATTGACAAAGCCACCTGACCCCTTTTTTTTCCCTGCCTACCTGCTTCAGGGGTTGGCATTTGTGAACCTGCAATAAATACCATGCTTGAAGAATGTACAGGAGGCTGTGCAACGCACCAAGCCCACAGGAGACACAGATAGGTTCCAGAATGAGGCTCAGTCCTGAAGAATGAAAAGAAAAGAACCATAGGAGACAATCTGAAGAGCACGTTCCAGGGCTCAGCAAGTGCAAAGGGTGAAGCAAGAGAGAGCACGGTAAGTATTGGGAATAACTACAGATAATCCTCTACCGCTGGAGAAGTACAGAATGTTTGGGACACGGAGTATGAGGCTGGAGAGGACACAAGGGGCATAAAGAGCCTTCAAAGATAGGAGCTTAGACTTTATCCTGGGGCCAGAAGTGACCCACTTAAAGGGGTTTAAAGCAGGGGAATGGGGTGATCAGATCCGGGTTTTAGAAAGATTACTCTGGCAGCTGTGTGAAGAGTAGACCGAAGGGGGCAAGATTTGAAGCAAGCAGCTCATTAGGAAGCTAATCCCGTACCTTAGGAGTGATGATGAAGGCTGCATCAGGACAGAAACACCGAGTCAAGAAGAGGATTGAAACATTTGAGGAAGCAGAATCTAAAGGACTTGATGGCTGGTTTTATATGAGGCGTAAGGATAGAGTCCAATGTGACAGACACAGTTTCTGGCTTTGACGAGGTACATGGTTGGCCACTGAAAAGGCATAACAACAGATCCCTGTCATGAAAACCATATTAGACTGAGAGGCCTGGGTTCCAGACTTGCTTCTACTAACTCAGTCTCTCTGGGCTTGCACATTCACTTATAAATGAGGGTGCCACACCAGAGCCATCTTTATGCTCCCTTCCAGGTCTCTGCCAGAAAAATCAAGATTCTCATAATTCACAGAGAATTCAGAGTAAAAGGAATTTCAAAGGTTAAGCCCAACCGCTCACATGATACTTGAATTCCTTTACAACGAACTTGTCAGGGGCTTGTTCGACCTCTGCTTGAACACATCCAGCATGGAAAACTCCTTATCTCCTAATGCAGCCCATTCAGTTCTTACGCTCATTAGTGTAAGAATAAGGCTGCTCCTAATGCAGCCCATTCAATTCTTAAAAACTCATCCTGATACTAAGGTAAATTTTGCCCCTTTGTGTTTTTCTCCACCTTTGGGTTTTAAGACCTAGGGATCAAATCCCGCCCTTGCCCCTTAGGAGAAAGACATTACCTCTAAGTCTCCATTTCCCCACCTGTAAAATGGGGAATGACCCAGAGGGTTTTTATAAAAGGAGTAGTGTTATCTGAAAAGGATTCAGCATATTCTTCCCTTGGAAGGCTTTCTATAGCTATGGCATCAAAGGCTCAGTTAGCAGCGATGAGTCTTGATGTTTTCTTCTGTGCTTCAACTCAGTAATCATCACTAGGTGCTTTGTGTCAGGGCCATGGTATGGTTCAGCCTGGCTTTAAGCTTCATTTTATCTCCAAGGCAGTCAGTTTTCTTTAGGGCATCTGTTGACACATGAGAGCCCACTGATGGCACATCACTGAGATGTACTAAACAGGCGAGCACACGAGAAAAGTAAATCCCATGGAGGTGATCTTCTTCCCTTAGTCCCTCTAAAGCAGTTATAACCTCCCAGAGCCAGACTGCCTGGGTTCAAATCC